CTTCCCTGTCATGCTACAAGAATTTTACTTGCATAATTAAACGAAAGCTTGGGCAAATAATTCCATCAATCTCTTTAGATCTGTAATTAACAGAATTTGTTCAACCTCCTAGCAATGATTTAATTACTGCTTTTACGAAAATTATGATCTACAATTTGAATAATTATCTCGTTGTTTAAATGAATTAGTAAGTATCAATTGGACGCAATTTACGAATCGTGCGAAAATTCTCTCTTGACCTATGTATACACAACAAGATTTTTTTGAGGAGTCGCTCCGAAAAAAAAATGCGGCATCCTAGTATCTAGCCTGAGAAAGTCGCAATTTCATATAGACTACTGGCGGTTATTGAGTGTATTGATTTATGCTCATGATCTGATAATAACATTCAAACTTTATCGTTGCAGATGCTTCCAATAAAGTGTAAAGTAATAGTTTTAAATAAATTTTATAAGGAAGGTATTGGAGTCCTTTTTTATGACAACCAGATCCTTTACGACCGTATTAAACAAGAAGCCTTTTTATTTGAGATTGGCAATTATTGATGTAAGTATGTGCACGATTTAATGGCATTTTAATTGACTTTGTAGTTAACTTTATGAGGATGGGAATAAGTATAACATTCGCTGTGGTAGTGTTGTTCTTTGCCTTACGATTATTACCTAAACGGGAACGCCCAATAAAAGTAAACAAAAATAGAAGTATAAAGCCGTCCCACTCACGCGTGGATGAAGCGTATTGTTCAAATTTCATCTTACAAGTTAGCACCAAAAATACTATGTCCAAATACCTTTTATCCATATCTTGCAACATCCCAAATCTGTGTAAGTTGCAAGTGCAGTTTAGCGCAGTCCGAGATTGTGAGAGCTCAATACTGGGCCCGCGAAGAAAGCTGAGTGAATCGTCCTTTTTCATATCGGGTAAAATTCTCTCAACTGAAGATGTATTGTTTCGTCCATAATTGGGTTAGTTAAAAATTGGTAATATTGATTGAAGCCGGGCGTAATTGCACGTGTGCTACCAGCTTAATTTTCGTATTAAATGGAAGCCAATTAAAATAAATGCGACTGTCCACTGTGATGTTTAGGATACTTTGTCCTTACACACATTTTAAATAGGTCCTTGCGGCGATTAATGATCAGATTTTTTATGGACGAAGCACATCCACTGCATCCAAAAATCCTTCCTTGTGAAAGCACACATAGTAATTATACTTCACGTAATTGATTCTCTTGATTTGAAGGAAAATTTGTGTACATATATATAAAAATATGATATTGTATCGTTAACGTGCTAATTTAGCATGTGAGTATTCGGTCGAAGTTATTTTTATCATGGAATGTGAGATAAGATGTAGTTTAAACCGCTGCCAGTGGGTGCGCGCTTGATGCGTGAACGTCGAGCTTTAGCGATATATATTTGTTTTGTACGTGTACGTAAACTTAGTGAGTAAATACCGATTGTGAAATCAGAAAAGCAATACTACGGAATTAAGCAAAGCGCGCTTTGTGAATAAATTTACAATATTAAGATCTGAGCTTTACCATACTTTAGAAACTTTCCATTTGTTAATGTTCGTCAAAATAATTTGCTTCCGGTTTGTTACAAACGAGGCATCGGAGAAAGACCGAAACTTTTGAAGAGTTGAACAGTTCGAACCAAGAACCAAGTCTGCAAGCCGTTGGCTACTATCAGCTGCATTCCGCATTGTGTTTCGTGAATTATTTCCGTTTTATGCCAGTTATCAGTGGAAGACACTGACTCGCATATATTTTCGTACGTCTTAATGAAAGTTATTTAATAATTTGGATTTGCTAACTTTGAACTATCGCCACATTGTTTATTAATATAAATGTAATTATTTAGCTAGTAGCTATATTTTGAGTTTAGCTAGGAAATAGGTATGTGTCTTTTTAGGATCACTGTAGGGGTTCAGTTCAGAAAAAAATACAGCCTTCGGTAACACAAAAAAAGAACAGAGCAGTCTAAGAAAAGAAATTGCGTCGTATCTGCCGTTATAGTATCTAAGTATTCAAATAAGTCCCCGCCAGTAGGAATCGTGTAATGCAATCGGTTTTCAAATTCTGCAGTCACAGACATGAGTTGGGTATGAGTGATACCCGCAGAACATTCACGGAGCAGCAGTGTTCGGAAACGGTCCACGTGCATAAATGGAATCCAGATGACCCCAGTAAAAGAAATCGAGAGGGTTCATGCATGGTGAGCGTTAAAATTGTGACAGGAATTATCCGATGAGTAATGACAAGTAGTGACCAATCCTAGTACCATCGCCAACTCGTTGACCAATGCTGCGTCGAAACCTGCATTACTATATAAGTGTACGCCGTATTGTAATTCATATTTGCACGCAGCTAACGGCGTTTTCGTATGCTGCGACGAATGTCGGGTAACCCTGTATAACCGCAGTGTGTGGGAGATGGGAGAATCATTGTCCTCGCAAACTGAGACAGTGTCGCCATTTTTAATAAGTTTAACGTGGGCGTCTTCTAAATTCGCTACGAGTTTCCATCAGAAGTAAATTAATAAAACCTGGCTGCCTTATTCGGAGAGATCTTCATTGCGTGAAAGGGGCGATCCGACTACTGGTATAATTTGCAAAGGCGCATATTGCGAAGGGTCACCATATTAATATGGAAGCCAACCCTTTTTTTGTTTCGGTGCATTTGGATTAAGGTGCAAAACATTCCATTCCGCCAGATTTGTAGTGGTAAGTTACCTACAAAACTAATTTATTAATCAAACTTGTGCACCCCATTTTTGTTTATATGAGTGCAACAAATTTACGAAAACGGCTATCGGTAAAAAGGTTAAAGACAATTAGTTCAAGCTTCTTTTTCGGTAATTTATTATTGTGAATACCTCGAAGTTTACTTAATTAAATCAAACTTTAGCCTTAAAGTAAGCTTAAAGCCTCCTTCCATCCTTTTGCTAGTTTCAGCGATTGCCGACAACAGCTACAAGCGGAACGTCTTCAAAAAATATGGTACCATAAGTACCCGCGATTCTAATTGCAAATAGATTTAACATTTTGCCGTATCTGATCGTTCCCATACCCCATCGGATGCATATAAAACTATTCACTCAACATTTTTGGAAAGATTCCCAGCGTTCTGCTATTGATCCATTCTTTAATTATATGCCCTGGGCGCAAATTCCAGAGGGCTGGTTTCAAAACCGAGTCGCGCGCACTGGAAACAAACTCTCGTATTGGCTATCGTCTGCTTGAGTTGCAAACCTCCTTCGTAACTAGGTAGTTTTTGATTAATTATTATTAGACTGGATAGTGCATTCTTTCTGATAAGTTGAAGATATTCTGCACGTCTATTGACGTTGACCTTTAGCCAGACAATCGAGCTCGAACCTCTGACCACTTTAACAATACAGCGTTCAGCGGTTAGCTTTTACAGCCTTTAATTTCTCCTTCACTCCCGCAAGTAATAGATAATTTTGATGAGAACTTTTGAATAAAGGTTTTCATTAGAATTTTGTACACAAGAAAATACCTAATAAGAACAGAAACTGCAAACATTTAATTCATCCACTTTGTACAAATCATAAAATAGGAGTAAACTTAAATAATACAACCCCAGAAGGTTTCACCCTGACGATAAAAGCTTGATTTACCTTTACGTCCTGCATTTCTTGTACAGTTTCAAACAAATTTACTACTGAATACCCCTTTTGGTGATCTAAACCGACGTCCGAAAGCTTCGTAGTAATTGCGTAGGGATGTCCGTCGTCTCTCTTGCTATGATAAGCGACCGCGTACGAATACGAACCATTTACAACGGGCGTAACGGGTCTAATCCACATTTGTATGTCATTGAAGGTCTTTATCAATGAACCCTGAATGCCTAGAGCGTCCTGGTTTATTGCTATTATCTCGCGATTTAATAAAATTGCCTTTTCTTCTCGCCCAATGGTTCCCAGATCAACAGACATGAGGAGAGGTGCCGCAAGTATTGCCCAGAGTGCCATCTGCGTTTTACTCTGCTCGACGCTGAGACCGTAGTTACCAATCAATAGCATATCGGGATCATTCCAGTGACCCGGTCCTGCGTAGGGAATCAGGCGATCTTGATGCTTGCCAAACCAATCCCTTATTTTAGACATGCTACTGTAAGAGTCCTGAATGTCGCCCCAGTTTCTCCATAAATTGCAAATCTCCGATAAGTACGCGTAATCGGCGTAGGTTCCACTACTTTCCAAATACGCGGGCCAGCTGCAGGAATACACCATTGGTCGACCCGTGCGATTTAAATACCTTCCAAATTCAGTATAACCCACCTCGTAGTCCTCCTTGTTGGCGTAGCATCCATCAACTTTGATATAATCAACGCCCCATTCGGCAAAAGTGTTTGCGTCGACTTCCAGATGGCCCAAAATACCGGGGTACCCCGCGCAAGTAAGTGTGCCATAATCTTCGTAAATACCAAACTTTAATCCCTTTGCGTGAATGTAATCGGAGAGATTTTTGATACCGTAGGGAAATCGCGAGTGATCTGGTTGCAAGCGACCGCTCTCATCCCGTTCCTTTTCCAACCAGCAATCGTCGATAATTAGATATTCGTAACCTGCTTCCAAATAACCCTCCGACACCATCAGATCCGCTGTTTTTCGAAACAAGCGATCTGAAATGCACTCGTCTGGATAAAGCTTGCAATCCGTGAGACATCTGTATCTTTGCCAGCTCATCCATCCCATGGGAGGTGTACGCGCGAGCCCATTATTTAAGGCAACTACTGAGTGAATAACGCACGTTACTGTAGCTAGGAGTATAAGCATAATGCTATTTGTCTAAGGTTCTGCTTCTGTGGAGCTTATATAAACTGCTTTTACTTGCGATAAGAGTGATAAGCATGTAAGTGGAACAAGAGCTACTTGAATTATTGAACAAATTGTAATTGAAGCACTTTATCGCACTAAGTAGGTGAATGTTAACTGAAAGACGCAGGGGGTTGAGTATTTTCCATTTAATTCTATGCGTAATCATAGACGCCACTTGGTGCACAAATTGGGGACAATTTGAATAACACAACACCCATTGGTGGTATCATAAATTCTAATTGCTCCAACACTTTTATGCTTTGATTATCAGAGGGAGCTTGAAATAAGTTTCTTACAGTATATCCACACTTACTGATCAGTCCTATCCTTTCTGCTGGGAGTTTAACAAAATTCTCATACGTTCGCATATTTTGAAAAGCGACTGCAAATGAGTGCTGTTTCCCTACAATTGGTTCAACAGGCTTCATCCAGACATGAATTTCCTTAATCGTTTCCACTATCATACCGGCGATGCCCAACTTATCCTGATTAATTGCAATAACTTCCTTGTTTAATAAAAGATCTCGGTATTGGGGTGGAATTTGCTTCAAATCAGCCGACATCAATATTGGCGCGCTTAAAATCGCCCAAAGTGCAAGCTGCAATTTGCTCTGATCTACATTCCACCCCCAATTCCCAACCATTAGCGGAGCAAGATGAATCCAACTACCTGGTTGCACAAAATCTATGAACGCATCCTGTCGCTTGCCATACAGTTCTGGAATGGTTACCATACTTTCGTACGTATCTTTAATGACATATCCATCCCTCCACAAGTTACACGTGTCGGTCATCTGCACATAATTGGGTAAAATATGCTGATTTTCTAGATAATACGACCAGCTACACGAATAAACAATGGGACGACCGGTCGCATTTAAGTATCTACCAAAATCAATGTAATTATGATTAAAATCTACATAAGTCATATTACATCCGTCAACTTCGACATAGTCGATATCCCATTCGGCGAAGGTTTTTGCGTCTAGTTCCAGGTGGTTTTTCATTCCGGGGTAACCTGAACAAGTGTATTCACCTAATTCTTCGTATATGCCCAACTTAAGGCCCTTACTGTGAATGTAGTCGGCCAAAGCCTTAATCCCATTAGGAAACCTTGTAGAATTTGGTTGTAAGCGATGGGTTTTCGGATCTCTATTTGTCATCCAGCAATCACCAATAATTATGTATTCGTACCCAGCCTTCAGGTAACCTTCTGACGACATAATATCGGCGACCTTACGGAAAAGACCATCATAAATGCATCTATCGTGATACACATCGCAATCAGGTTTGCAGTTGTACATCTTCGAACTGGTCCAACCCATTGGGGGTGTGCGTGCTAAACCATTCTGAAGGGCTCCAACTGTTGAGCAGAGGAAAATATAAATTATGATGTTCTCTTTCATACTTAGACCGGTTGACACTGACGTTTATGTGTATTATATGCACAGTTTGTAATCCTAGTGTGCTACATGTGGCTCAATTTTTTATGTCGTCTCGTGCAAATGAAATTAGTTTAACGAGTGCCGATTGGTGCGTTATTTTTAATGCTCAGGCTTTACAGTACTTCGTTTTCTTTTCCCTTAGACTTTACTTAAAAATTGGTCCCGTTTAACGGCCGTCGTATACTACTTTGAAAATTGTCGATTTAATTGCATAATTTTTGGAGTGACTATATGTTTTGAACGGGACTAAATCACCTCAATCAGTCCAACCAGTAGAAGGTGGCCATCTGCACCGTCAACAATAATTGGTGAGTCACAGAAAATTTCCAAGGCTCGACATCGATCGGGTTCAACCAACTCCCGCTGAATCAAGAGACGTCATTCATAAGGTAAAAGACAATATTCCCTTATATGAATTAAAAATAACAGCATCCGACGTTGTACATTAAAAAAAAACTCGCCGTTAATTTGCGTGTATAGTTAATGACAATTTGTTCAAGACGTTAGAATTTAAACCGGGGACTACAGTGTTATTTTAATTTCCAAAATTAAAATTGTGTAGTTAGTTTAGGTATATGTTCACGGTTTAGGTTCATCGTAACTGTATTGATGTGCTTTATTTGTATGTTTAGTTAAAATAAATGTATTCAAATTAATATAAATCTTTTACGATTGGGATCATCACAATCGCTCCTTTTTGCTCACAGTGGCAGAAGGCTTCTAAATTTCAAAAGTACACCGAAGTACGAAAATTGAGTAATCCCTCTAGGCATATTGGAGTATAATTTTCGGTAGTAAATTCTTCACCCTAAATTTTGACTATTACTTGTGAAATTAACTAAGTAACTGAGAAAAGTAAAAGTCACTTAATTATTCCCTATCACTTACTGGTCATTTGGGTATGTTCGGAATTTTCACAGGCTGTGAAAGCGGAGGTCCGTGGCGTGAGCGCTTTGCTTGTAATGCCCCGTTTCAATTATGTTAGGTTGACTAATTTATTAGGATTAATTTAACAGTAAGGTCTCTAAGATTTGTTGTATTTTGAGTTTCATTAATGTAAGGGTAGGGTTGTCGCTGTTAGAATTTGCAGGCGGTCGCCTTAAGGGATGGTTTACGATTTGCCATTGCAAGTAATTCGATCGGCCGACAAACACCAATCTTAAACTTATTCTGTTTCAAAATCCCTGCGTGACTAATTTAGGTAATTATATTCTGTCATTTTGGGGTGATTTTATACTAATATTTAGCTATAGTTCGGATGCCGCCTAAGCTTAACCCCCGACACAGTAAGCCCAAAAGTAAATTGTAAATTATGGAGGTGCCATTACCATCAGGTGGATGTTAATGATTGAACTTTTTCTTATAATGCTCGCGGATATTGGTCATTTAACCATTAGTGGCAGTTTCAGTCCGTAGAATTTGAATTGGGCATTTTGAACGCGTTTCAAATTGGCGTGTATGAAAAAGAAAAGATCGTAGGAGGAATTTGAAATAGGAACAGGTTAATATTCCTGAAGCCGCGGTCGAAAGCGAACACCTGGTAGAATACGAGACTTTCACATAGCGAGAAAGATTCGTTTTTGCGGTGGAACGCGTATTTACCTCAAAAAATTTAGCATAAAATAGTTTTATTCGAAAGTCGTGAGTAAAAAGCGGACCTAAAGGAGAAATTTGTGTGTAAGTCCAGACCACGTCTTAAAGTGCGCGGGTGCCAAATTGTCGGAGTCAAATATGCTACTTCCTGTGCAAAGCGCAAAACGATTTAAGACAGCGAGCGAGCGTCCTTCAGGGAAGAAACCACAACAAACAAATAATGCTTTGGTATTATTTAATTCAGGTAGTAGTCTTTGCATTTCTTTATCATTTATTTCTGTTTTGTATACAACATTTCAAATTGTTTATAATTTACAATGTTAGTTTTTGGAAATTGTCATAATATAATTTAAATGCGTCACGTGTATGGGCAATACCGTTAACTTTTATTGTTTGAAATTGTTTTCATTTATGGTTATATTTTGATTACATGGTTTTGATCCGAAATTACATTTATAAGTTTTGATAATTCGCATGCATTTTTGGACATGTTGGAGGGGTGAGACCCTGCTAACACTTGAATTCAAAATTTACTAATTGCACGGAAAGTGACAAGGGTTGGTAGGATTGCTAAAAAATTGAATATACTACCTAGATTTCTAAGTAAAAAAGAAATAGATGTTTTAGCTGAAAGCTGTAATTTTGTAGGGGACAACTTCAGTTTAGTTTAACTGACCGAGTTCATAAACACGATTGGTCATCTTCGAAAATAGTAGCCAATCATACTTTTTCGTCATCCCATACTGTTATTTCAATTTAACTCAACTCATTTGACAAATGAAATATCATTCATAACGGACGGCGTCCGTTAAAAAATAACGGACGCATATGCGGCCGTTAAGAAATAATGCTTTTATTGAAATACAAACAACTACTTATTATAATGAATATGAAAATTAAAGTGACAGTTATTATTGCTAGAAATCTGTAGTCCATCGTAGGAAAATTGAGGACCACTATCACCTGTTGATGTTACACTTGATGAAGAAGCTGTGGCTATGGATGTTGTAATTTCAGAGTTTCCATTGGACCTTTGAAATAGTTGTTTGGTGATTTTTAATCGCTTCGAAACAGAATTTTCAATATACGATTCCGCTACCGCAGATGAATCCCAGCCTCCAAGTTCCTTCACTGCTAGGAGATCGCCGCCATTTTCTGCAAGCATGGTAGCGGATGACCTCCGAAACGAATGGCCCGTGTATAAATCTGGGTTTTTTAATTTTAAGAACTTAGCAATTTTCCTGGGAACACCCCCAATGGTATGAATGCCCACAACCTGCCTAACACACTTTTCTTTGCGGTAGGCAATGAAAAATCGCCGAGTTTCTAAATTTTGAGGACGTAATTCCGCGTATTTTTTGTATAACTGATACGCATTGAAGGGAAGTCCTTCTTTCGGAATTAGAAACACTCTGCTTTTCTTATTTTTTGTGATCCGCAATGTAACTATTACGTTTTTGTTGGTGTCTTCAAAGTCCTCCACGTTCAACTTCAAAAGCTCATCACCCCTACAAGCGCCAAATATTCCACATATTAAGATGACTTTTTCTAGGAGCCATACACCATCATCAGCTTCCAATAAAAATGTCATGACTTGCTCTTCAGACAAAATGTTAGACTTTTTTGGTCTGTAACCTTCAGACTTTCTTTTCAAAAAGGCGAATAATTTTCCGAATCTGTAATGTAATAAACATCCCCAATACACAATAAATACACTACATGATTAAATTACCAACATTGAAATGTCAATGTTGTCATATACCTTCAAAGTGAGTTTCAACATTGAAAGTCTGCTAATACCTACGTCTGGAGGAATATTGATATTTCCTTCAATTACGTCCATATTTTTGGAAAACCGTCGTAGAGCTTCTCAGCACGCGTATTTAACGAATTGTTTATTTTTCAGTAGTTGCGTCCATGACAACCGCTAACATGTGACCATAAGCATACCATGATCAAGATAATTATTTTACCTGAAACCGTCAAGAAAATGTAAATTTCAGGGCTATTTTGACATTAGAAAGTTGATCTTTACCTGACTAGTACTGTAATATTTTTGCCTGACTCCCATTACAGTCCTAGTACTTGCAAAATAACCAATTAGATCGTTCATTGAATAAGTTATTCAATCAACGTTTGGATATTTATAATGCAGACTATGTGGATATTTTTAAATATTAATATACCTATACAAAGGATAATGGTTTTTTAATTACTAACAATTAATGGAATATGTGTGGAAGTAACCATTCCTTTAGTTTTGCGCCAGTCATTAAAAGGTTTGTACGCCTTTTCGTACTTTCTTGACTTTGTAGGGAGGGAATATACTACGGCGGCCGCATCTTCGGCTACATTATAACAACGTCTCGCGTAGGTACTCTTCTTCACTGATACATGCTTTTGTACCTAGTTATTAAGACTGTATAGTGGAAAAGTACAAAGTATAAACTGCAAACTGCATTAAAAATGACACTGATTGTTTTAATTATTTTGAAATCTCTATGGAAACAATTACCTAATGTCATTTTAGCGTGCGTGATTAGGTATCAAAATTTCACATATATGAATAATTTAATTTGGAAAAGTTATCTACATGTTGCAGTTCAGGTAAAATTTTATACATAATACGTCATGAAAGTGAGTCCACCTGACTTGGAGGCATTAAAGAGATACTCGGACGCTGCGCGTCCTCGTACTTTTCAATAAGCCTCCGCGTCATGTAAACGACCACTTTCATGACTTATTATGTAAATAACTAATATTTAAGTATTGCGAAAAGATGGATCTTTATGAAGTCGAAATATATAATTTCCACATAATGGGATGACGAAAAATCTTGAACGACACACGGTCGATACGCAAATAACGGACTTGGTTGAATATAAACCTCGGCTGACGCCTCGGTTTACAAACTTCAACCACGTCAGTTATTTGCTACATATCGGCCTTATGACGTTAATAACTATAACCCACAATTTTACTATAAACTGAAGTTTAAACTGACATTGCACAACTGGGTCTAAGGCGAGTAACTTGAGCGCATTTTCCACATATTGATCAGTATTTCCCAAGGGAGAACCATCTGAACTATGTTTTTCTTTACTAAAAGCATCTATGGTTAAAATTTGAAAGAAATATCTCCACAAGTTGGCTTTCGCAATCTGCGCATGCGCACATTCGAATGTACTATATGCGATATGTTTGGTTACCAGACGCATCTGTGGTTAAAATTTCAAAATGTATTAATAAGAAAGTTAATATTGCACAGCCTGCACATT